TGGCACCCTATCTTCTTTTGTTTTCACCCCAAAAGGTGTTTGTTCGCACCGCGGTCTCTTCAAACTGTGCAGCGTTCACTGCACAGTACAACTGTACGTAGCTCGTCCCAAAGACACCTTTGGCCGGATCGCGTGAAGCAGTTCCCGCAATACTGTACAGGGACAAGTTCGAGGGAAGCTCGAGTCGAGCTGCTTGGAAGTTTCAAGTTGGAACAGCCAACAATGCGAGATCAGACAACCTTGTGAATGTACCGGTCCGGTATTATAGTACATGTACCAGACCGGTAGTACCCGGTGTTACACCGGCGGTGTAGTACACCGTGTACATGTACTATGTACATGTATTGGAAGCTTCAATGAAGCAAACGATGAGCTGAGTCAGCTCAGAGCGGGACCGCCATGAAGCACATACCCGTACTGTACATCACGTACATGTAGTGTACTGTACTGCCAGACTGGCAATGCCAGTTGAGAGCTTACAAGTATAACTCGTATGACAGGTCGAGAAGAAGTAGGGAGAGGAAGAAGACGTTACTTGTAGGCGTCAAAAGACGAAGTGAGTACTTTATTAGTATTAGGAAGCCACCAATAGGCCATTAGTGTCTGTATAGTTTAAGCCAGTCATACCGACTTAAACAGGACCTCCTAAATCTCATTATAATATTTTGGAGTGACTAGGTCAAGGTAATCAAACTGTTTAGAGGCTACTTCAACAGCCTCCCTGCCTCTGAACATATTTTATCAAACTGACAATTCTATGTTATAACAGAGGTAAAACTTTCCTTAAAGGACTTTTCCTCAGTCCTTGAAACGCCGCCAGGAAGTCGCTTAGGCTAGCCGATCTGACTTTGCCCTGCAGTTTCTGCTAGGGAAGGAGGACGCTAAGTGACACGCCTGGTAGGAACTCAAGGATGGAGCCCAACATGTCGTCTCTACTTGCCGCTGCTACGAAGCAGGCTCCCTCGCATCGGTAGAGGCTATTTCGGTGGGCACAGAGCCCTTCCGATCTGCAAAGAGCGCTTCTTATGAGGGAGAAGAAGAAGCGGGCGCCGCGGACAGCACTGCAGCTTGCGCCAGTTCTCATCGCCACGCTGGAGGAGGGGGGGGAGGGGCTTCTCGAGCACACGTGGCCACCACTCCATCGAAGAAGTCACTAAGCTGGGGTATTTAGCGATGATGTCATTTGTCACACAGAAACCACAAAATCTACACATTATGACACCGACTACGTGTCCAGTGACACAAATGCTGAAAGTGAAAGCGACTGAGATGTACTGGCGTATCTCTAACAAATTTGTTGTTAAGCATGGATTATTATTGATAAACTCATGTGTCTAGATAATTCGGTACTTGACCAGGGAAACCTCAACGAGGGAAAACCTTGTGCGAACAAAAAAGAATAAACCCCAGTGGGAAAAAATTCTAAAAAGAACGCAGAATATAGACACGCTTCATGCGCTTGTATTATCAGGGTATTTCTAAACTGAGTGGCCGGATCCTGCATTGAACATTTCATCCTGAGCTTGGCCCTTAGCTCTCTAAATTAA